AAAAAAAGCTGGTCAGTGTTATATTGATGCTACAACCACCTGATTTCTTGATAGTCTCACTGTGTGTTGTTGTTGCACCAAGCAGATAGCATCGTTTACTTTGGTGATACAAGTATTCCTAGCTTGTAGTTGTAAGGCACCCTCGGATCAGTTCCAACTCAGAGGAATGCCATGCACAACAGGATGAAAGACTGCCCAGACCTGCACCATCTTCGCAAGTGCTATGTTCGAGCCCATTGTTAGAGCCACTGTGTCAGTTAATGTCAATAAGGGTCGTCCTCCCTTTCATTGTTCTGCTCTACACAGCGTAGTGTCCTTCTCCAGGAACTGGTCTTTCCTGACCACACGTACAAAGACCGTGAGACCAGCCTTACATGGGGCACTTCCTAGTTTAGGGAATGATAATTTGAATGGAGCCCATCAGAACTATGCATGTTTTGGCTCTTTTAACAAGTCTTTAAACATGTCTGCCTATTGAAATATACAAGTAATGGAAACAAAAGAAAAGAACACTGTGGTAGTTATAAATAGGTTCTCAATTTGATTAGGAGTGACGGGGTGGATTCTAGTCTATCAATCAGGTAATAGCCAATGAGGCCTCTGTGTGGGCATGTCCTACTCCTGATAATTCTGGGAACTCCGGAATTTCCTCCTTGGAGGCGGAGACACTTATCTCTCTCTGCTCACATCACTGAGGAGAATCCACATGGAAGTACCCTGATGCAGCCCTCGAAGCCGGAGAAGCCACGTGGAGGCCCCTGCCAGCACTGAGATGTTTACTATGCCACTGGATCCAAACACTTTCTACCCACTGGCCTGTGATCGTCCTGCATTTGGCGTCATTGCATGCGTTTTGTGAGAGTGAAGAGGACTTTATAGACTGGTATCGGACATATGGGCTGATATTGGACTTATGGGCTTGGACTGGACTGGGCTGGGATGCTTTCTTAATGTACAATTACCCTTTGTATAAAACTCTCTCTTATACACATGAGTTTCTATGGATTTGTTTCTCTAGTCTACTCCGACTAACACAGACACAAAACGTTCTAATCTAGGCTGACAGTAGTCACAGTAAAGCATGTTCTCTGCTTCCTTTTGAAAATCAACAGAACAGCCTTTCTTCCCCACTGCGTGCTGATTATGTGTTTTTCAGACCATATTTGATTATATATTTAGGGCCTTATTTTTATCATTTTGATTGCTTGGAATTGCTTACCTGCAAAGTAACATCCTGGGGCAGTGCTTTGCAATAACCCTTTATTAATCATCAATGTGTCTATTCGTGTTTATTTTCATTCTTATTTTTAGAAAGTGTATTTTGAGAAGGTCATTGCAGTATCTTTGTGATTGAATTCCAAGAGTGCTTAGCAAAGGGTCCATATATGTGATGGTGTTGAATCATTGTAAACCGGGAATGCATCCAAGTTTATGCTTAGCTGAGAATCCTTTGTTAAATATTTAAGAGTCAAAGCAACCTTTTCCAAATAGACATGTGGGTCATGGAAGCATAGAAATTGGTGAGCATCATACCTGTGATCCAACTACAGTGTCGGCCTCTGAGACCCGGCTGTTGTTCCTCCAATCTTGGGTGTCCTCTCATGCCCCTACACTTGTTTATTTGATGGCGTTCTTTCCTTGTCAAGATGTTGGTGACCCCATTTCTTCATCGTACATTTGCTCCTCTTGTCTTACCAGGGGCTTCAACGTAATAACTACTTGTAAGGCCCAATGTGACCCTGGCCTGGAAGGGTGTCTTTGTTGCTTTTAGCAGTTGAGCAACTTTGAACAAGAAACGTTTCCAAGGTTCAGGTCTCTTATCCATACCCACTTCAGCATGTAAACTGTGTCCAGCACGGGGCAGACCATGGATAACTGTTAGTTCCTATTCTGTGTTCCAAGAGCAGTTGCCATATTGGATTAGAAGGATAGGACAATTTTCAGTAAAATACAAGAATGCAACAGAGAGTTGGTGAAAAATGGAATTGAAACATAATGTAACTTTTGCCCTCCCCCCCCTGCCCCCATCCCCCTTGAGTGAATGTAACTATCTGGATATTTAGCATAACACAAGGAATAAGCAATTCCAGACATGGGTATCTTAATTATAAATTTAAACTTAATTTTATTTTGCAAAAATCAACAAGTACATGTTCTGATCTGATCTCTCTTCAAAACACGTCTTTGTTTTTCAAACAAACAATAGAATTAATTTGGCATGCCAAGCATCTTTTTCTATAACTCCCTTCAGAAATTTTTTTCATAGCATAAACAAGAGTGCAATATTGTCTCCAAACGATTTGCAGTTTTACTCTCCTGAATTATTATCATTAATATTTTTTTGAGGAAAGAAAAATGGCAAAGCTTGGTCTTTGGCATTCACATTTGATTCAGCAAGACGATTAATACTTATATTTGTTTTTAAGACCAAAACTTCGAAGGAAATTTAATAAATCTTGCTTCTGCTCTGCCCGCGAGCTACTATATTACAACCTTTAACTGGAGCTGTGGAGCTCCTGCTGGTAGAATCGAACTTCCAGCTGATTGGTAGCTTCGCTTCCTGTGGCCCAGTGCCTGCTTTCTCCCCCGCCCTCCACTGAGTGAAAGCACAAAAAGAAAGCGATTTCTTTTTCTCCCCCAGCATCGTCACCACAAGTTACGCTAGCTAAATTTACTTTCCTTATATTTTTTTCTTACACTGTGCGTTGTCTTGTATTAGAACACTTTTATGATACCAAAATTAACACGTTTGATTTTAGGTAATTGTAATCAGGCTTTTAAAGACCTTTGAAACAATAATGAACCATATTTCAGAGGAGATAATTGCCTTTAGCTCATTCTTTTTCATTTGAGATCAAATAGTTTTAGGCATCAGCACTTCACTGGAAAATAAGACTTTGAGGGGCCCATATAATGTATTCTTATTTTTTGTACACATTGTAAAAAAGAATAGGATATTTCTGACAGTAGCTTCAGGAGATTTAAAAATATATATATATCATTTGATATAGTATAGGTATTAAGGGAACACTTTAAATATAATTCTGGCAGGTATCTTATGATTTGGTATCCCAGAAATGTTTATAGGAAATTGTGTTTATTTAAAAAAGAATCTGAAGTGATCGATGTGAGTTAAGAGAATCTGGCATGTGAGGTAAGGTACTCCAGGCTGCGACACAAGGATGCATAGAGAAAAGAGAGCTTTTCAAGTCTGACAGTGAAAGAAGACACAGTATTTGCCCAAATCAGTAAATTGTAAGCAACATATAAATATGCAATGCCAATTCACAGGATGCAAACAAGATCAATTGGAAATTGTATTGTGCAATCCACATATTTTGGAGAAGAACTGCCAAGCCAGGCGAATGTGGACTGGGATAAAGACATAGGCAGTGTACACCACCATAGCAAAAATGGTTAGTAAGATGGTATTGACCATAGATTGCTCCCAGGGCTCCAAGACAGAGCAGCAGCTAATGATTTGGTATTGATAGTAGATCCATGCAATATACTCCTTCACACGTCTGAAATCCATGGTCGACTCCTTCCAGCTGCAGAAAGGCTGCCCTGTTAATGAGGGTAACAGGTAACATGATTAGGAATAGAACACCAAACCTCCTTAGATATTCACGGTCTACATATGTTAAATGAAACCTTTCAGGGAATGTTAAATACCACCTGATGACTTATTCAAAGGAATACAATCTAGAAATCACACATAAACCATCCAGGGATGAATGAATGAACATACATTGGCACATACATACAATGGAATACTATATCATGTTCAAGAATAATAAGGAATCCAAGAAACACTTCACAATGTGTATGAACCTGGGGACCATTATGCTGAGTGAAATGAATTAATCACTAAAGGACAAATATTATATGAGAATACTATTATAAAAAAATCAAAGAAAGTTTGCATGCAGGAAGAAATAATTTTTGATGATTATAGGGAATGGAAAGGGAAGAAAGGGAAAATCGCTAGCATGATAATAAATGTATTGATTTGGGTGCAGGGAAAGGCAATATATAGAAAGAGAGTGATCAGTACAATATGAGCAAGGTGAAGGAAGACAGTGGGAGGCACATAGGAGTTACAGGCAAAAAGGGAAATACTATTATGTTCACCATCCTGTAGTATCAGTAATAACACACAATAATCTACAAGTGGATCCAGAGGCAGACATGCAAGCTGAAAAACTATGGGTAGGTGAGTAGGACTTCACCATCCCCACCCATATGTTTTGATAGAGGACATTTCTAAATACATATTTCAAATGTACTGTACATATATCCATACGTATAGCTGAGAAACTTCTTAGCCATCATCAAACACTTGTGGGAATGGGTGCTTGGGCTTGGGGGTTTAAGACCACAGTCTTAGGAGACAGCTATTTCAATTGTCTTAACATTGTTAAGAAAGACAATGTCTTACACCAGTGGGCTGTGACTGGGGACTTACAGGCTAGTGAATGGCCATTTAAGATGTAGGTACCAGCCTCTCCATGCCCAGAGGAAAGAAAAGCGAAGACTACCAAAAACTCACAAAAGATAATTAGTCTAAAGGACTAATAAACCACTCAAACCAGAGCCTTCACTACCCTGACACCAGAATAACCCGGCTCCCACTCCCAATCACTCTGGGAACATGGAAGGCCCTGGGTTCACCCACTCAAAAGTCATTGCCGTCAAGTTGATTCCAACTTACAGTGGCTCTATAGAACAGAGTAGAACTGCCCCTGGGGGTTCCCGAGGCTGTAAGTCTTTATGGGGACAGACAGCAGCATCTTTCTCCCAGGGGTTTGAACTTCCGATCTTGGAATTAGCAACTCAACACATAACCACCATGGTTCCCTGGACAGAATATGAGAAAAACGTAGAACGTAATTCAAAATTATAAAAGAAAGACTAGACTTACCAGTCTGATCAAGATTGGGAGACCCCTAAGACCATATCCTTTACACACCCTGCAAGTCTGGACTTGACCCCACCCCCGGGGATGCCAAATGAAGGACAGGACTATCAAGTGAATAATAACACTAGCAGGAAGGCACTTCTTAGCACAATCAATTGTACAAGATTAAAAGGGAAGCATTTGCCTGAAAACAAAGCTCAAAGGCAGGAAGAGTCAGGAGGGATAGAAGGGAGCGAGAGGAAGCGGGAAGAGTGCTGTGGCACTGAGGCAATTGCATCCTAGGTAACGAACCAGAATGTGTATAAGTTGTTGAATGGAGAGCAATTTAAAAGTGAGAAGACATGAAATAATATATTGATAATGGAGATGAATATTATTGTTATTGAAAAACACAGACTCACTGGCATCAAGTAGGTTCTGATGCATAGCAGCCTTGTTATCATGCTGACCACTAACACGAAGAGCAATAGTGGTAGTAACAGTAATGTTTATGTAATACAAAGTGCTAGTAACAGTTCTTTTGATAATACCTAAAAGTTGAGACTAATCACATTTTAAAAGCCATGCACACAGAGAAAGATAAATATGAATCTTTCTTTTTCTTACAAATGAATCTAACAGAGATTCAAGGGATGGTGTGAAGGAAAGAGTCAACATAGCAAACCTGAAGCTACTATCTTTATTTTTTTTTCAACAAATGAGAAATGTATTAGTATTTTCAGTTAGTTTTTTTTAATATAATCATATTATTGGGGGCTTTTACAACTCTTGTTACAATCTATACATCAATTGTATCCAACATATTCATATGTATATTCCATCACTCTTTTCCAGACATTTACTTTCCATCGAGCCCTTGGGATCAGCTCCTCTTTTGTTCCTTCCCTCCTCCCCGCTCCTCACCCCTTGGGGCCCCTTGATAGATTGTTGATTGTTAATTATTTTTAAATCTCACATCAACCGCTGCCTCCCTTCCCCTCTGGTTTCTGTTGTTCTTCCCCCTGGATGGGGGTGTGTGGTTAGGCGCTGTTCATTGGGATTGGTGCCCCCTCCCTCTCTACCTCTTCCCCCTTTCCCCCTACCCTTTTGTTATCATTCCTGTTCCTGGGTTCCATGTGTTGTGAGTTTTATCTCTTGCCTATACCTATGTACATGCTCCCGTCTAGTCTAGATTGGGAAGCAGCACTGGGGTCATAAGAAGGGTGGGGGTTTGGTGAGGCCTCAAGGGATCAGAGGTATATTGCGTGACCCATTAGTGCTCTACT